GCCGACGTTTTGTTTCAGCGGATCTTCTGTATTGAGTGTAAGTCTATGGAGCAGTGAGACGTATCCGCTGGAATGTGTGACTTATGCAAATACCATTCATCCCATCTCAGTAACACTGACAGCTGAATTCGTGACAATATTCTCTACGATTGTCATTTATTATATGTGTATAAAGCTTAAGAATGGCATAATAGCAGCACAAAAGCGGCAAGAGGAAGAGGAAAAGTATAGCGACAGCTGCTAGACTGGGGGAGTCACGTGACGCATAGCTACCACTGGCATTGCACTGCATTGGCCCATGCTTTGTCTATGGACAAATAGACAAAATATAAATGTCGATTATAAAAAAAAACCCCATAAAAGGTATCAAGATGATTTTTGCACCATTGGTAGCTGAACGTCTCACTAGTTGAATAAAGTTGAAATGGCATTTCTAGCCCAAGGTATGCCAGAGATATTACGCTTCTAACGTTGCCCCACTCATTGCTGAACATGTTGATACCTGAAATAGTCCAAAGTATGCAGAGGTAGAATTGTCCTAGTCATTTCAATGGTGCATAACTTTCAAAATAAAGCTACATATTTCAAAAGTATGAAGTTTAGAAAACTTCTGAATAGTAGTATGAATGTCCTTGAAGAGCTGAACATTTTAATAGCTGAAAGTATGCTGAAATAGAATTGTCCTATTCATTTGAATGGGGCAAGATTTTCAAAATAAAGCTAAATATTTAAAATGTATGAAGATTTGAAAAGTTCTGAATAGTAATATGAATGTCCTTGAAGAGCTGAACATTTTAATAGCTGAAAGTATGCTGAAATAGAATTTTCCCATTCATTTGAATGGGGCAAGATTTTCAAAATAAAGCTAAATATTTAAAATGTATGAAGATTTGAAAAGTTCTGAATAGTAGTATGAATGTCCTTGAGGGACTGAACATTTTGATACCTGAAATAGCTGAAAGTATGCTGAAGTAGAGGTTTTCTATTCATTTGAATGGGGCAAGATTTTCAAAATAAAGCTAAATATTTCAAAAGTATGAAGTTTAGAAAAATTCTGAAGAGAAGCATGAATGTCCTTGAAGAGCTGAACATTTTAATAGCTGAAATAGCTGAAAGTATGAAGAAGTAAAAATTTTGAGAATAAAGCTGAATAGTTTAAAAAGTATAAAAGTTACAAAAAAGTTGTATACATCCACGCATGTCCTGAAAAAGCTAAAGTTTTTGATACCTGAATGGCTTTTCTAGCTGAAAGTATGCTGAAGTACTTACGTGCCAAAAAAGGTATGGAATAATAATAATAAAGAAATAATTGGAAAGCATAGTATGGATGCTGAATCAGCATCCATACAATAATTGGATAACATAGTATGTATGCTGAATACAATAAAGAAGAAGATAACAAGAATGTGGATGCTCGCATCCATACTAATAATAAAGAAGAAGATAACAAGAGTGTTGATGCAAGCATCTACACTAATAAAGAACAGGATAACATAGTGTGGCTGCTTGATGCATCCACACAATAATAAATAAGAGGAAAACAGAGTGTGGATGCTACAGCATCCACACAATAAAGAACAGGAGAGCATAGTCCCCTGTACTTGGCATCTCTTTGTAGTTTCAAGCTTAAATTTGTATCGACTGTCATTTTACGTTATCTGAACAACTAAGTTATTCACTGTAATCTATAAAATTCAACCCATTTGTTGTTGTTAGATAACTTATTACTTATACAACGTTGCTCGATTTGACAATTCTTTCCAAAAGCAGCACAAAACTAGAGAAAAAACCTCGGGTATTTTCTTTTCGTTTTTTTTAATTTTTTTTATTGCAACACAATTACAAGTCAAAGCACATAACATTCTACATGAGACAAACGAGACAACAGACTAACAAAAGAGGCAAAGTTATTATCAATTGAGGGTATGGAGTTGTGTGTGTGAAAGTGTGTAATACGTATAAAACGCATTCAGTTCCGCCAAAAACGGAAATGACGTCGGGACAGAAAATGGCGTACGCAAAGCCTGTATCCTGCTGTGGTTCAATTTAGAGCGAGTGGGGATTCTCACTGTTTCTCTGGGCGATAATATGGCAGTATACCGTTGCCGTCCGCTTTCTTGATCCCGGTATCGAGCTCGCAACTTCATGTCTGACGGCGCCAGAGCTGCCTGGTCGAAGAGGGGTTGTGGGGATTTGCACCGCCGAGGTGAGACGGCTGGATTTAGCGGCTAAGCTAAAGCTACTGCCCCACTCGAGCAGTGTCGAATTCCCCGTAGCTCCTGTCACCTCCGCTGAGAGTCGTGACAGTTATGTGGCTGGTCAGGTAGCTTGTCAGGTACCTAGAAGTTGAGTCAAATATCTCCATTTATTGTGTGTAACTATGTCTCACACATAATCCAAATGATGGCTACCGTCATCGTCGGATACAGAGTTGAATGTGTACCGTTATATGTAACGCTAGCCTTTGTTTTTGGCTCTGATCGTGGCAGTTAAGGTCTCTGTAACACAGCGACCTGCTGTTGTTGGAACGGAAACTAACGGCTGTAACGGAGAAGAACGTCTCTGTGCTTGTGCTGCTCACGTCAGGTTAACGTAGTTCAACAGGTCAAAATAACACGGTTACCCATGAGTTTTCTAGCATTGTCTGTATCGGTACTCTTCACGGCCAAGGCCGGTGGTGTAGGAAGTACTCAGATGTTTACCTAAGTAAAAGTAGCAATATCACAGTATAATAATACTCTGTTAAAAGTAAAAGTCCTGCATTCATAATTTTACTTCAGTAAAAGTACAAAAGTATTTGTATGGAAATATACTTAAAGTACCTAAAGTAAAAGTGGTCATGATGCAGAAAGGCACATTTCACATTAATGTATGATGATATTGCATTATAATTACTGAAGCATTTTTTGTTAATGCTGCAGCTGGTAAAGGGGAGCTAATGTAATGTGAACTACTTTATATACTGCTGGGCAGTTTGTGAATTTCTCACCAGGGACCAATAAAGTCTTATAATAAAATAATAAACGCTATTCCTGTAGCAACTTTTCAAAACATGGTTACAGAGAGTGCTCCACAAGATAAAACCACAATGAGTAGTAAAAACACAGATGCAAATACCAAAAATGAATAACTTAAGTTTCTGTCTTTCATTGTCATCTTAACTTGAAAACTTTGTACAACATCCAGAGCTGAAACAATTACCAAAATAAACAGTACCATCAAGATCAGTAGCAAATTTATAAGCAAATATTTTGATAATTATTAGTCATTTTGAAACTAAAATGACCAGCATTCTAAAATTAAAGTGTCTGGCTTGTGTGAAAATATGCTTTGTTCATATTTGTAGTTGTGCACTGTTGTTTTGAAGTAGTTTCAGGCTCACTGCTGTAGCATGCAACCCCATGACTGGACATGTGATGGTACTGTCGTGCTCCTTCTACCTTATGTGTCTTCTTCTGTCTCTTTTGTCAGAACCAGGGAAGCATAAACACAGGAAATGCGAGCGGCCTCTTAGCCTTCAGCCGTCAAAGCCTGTGCTTGTTCACCCGGGCTCCAAAAGGTACGACTTTTCACTCTGCAGCACTGCACGGTAAACCTCTTTCTGTCACTGTGAGCTCAGCAGCCATCCCACCGTCACTCCCCTCTCTGCTCGTCCAGGAAGCAGCTGCTTCACTTCAGTCCCCTGTTTGGGGCTGATGAGTGGTTCAGAGTTAATCCCCACAGAGCGGTGAACCCCATCACCTCCACCTCCGTGGTACAGCAGCACATTTACTGTATATTGTCTCCCTAAAAGTGCTCGGTAGATGTTTTTACAAAAAAAATATATATCAGTAAACAGTCACGTTTAATAAAAATGGGAATTGCATTGTTTTTTGTGTATTTAGTTACACAGTAGTACTTATATTTCTAGTTTGTCCTCTTCTTGTTCATTTAATACTGTTTTTCCAACAGTTAATGTCCCATTTAATTTGCTGCTCAAATGTTCAATTAGATAGTTTAGTTTGTTTAGAAGATATTTTCAGTTTATTACAGCTTGATTTGAGAACTTATTATTGTCAATTTGCTAATCAGTTATATAATATATATATATATATATAGAGAGAGTTATGAGCCATTGTATTTATTGCTGAGCTAAGGAAATGCATTTCCTCAGAAGAAGCCTCTGTAGAGAAGTCCAACAAATAAAAAATATGAGTAGTCAGAAGTATGTGAAATGTCAACAGTGATCTTTCATTGAGCAGAGACTGTGTTAGCACAGCTGCAGTCAGTGTGTAGGTCAGAGTTGAGGCAGGACATGGAACTGTCCACTTTGTGCAAATGAAAGAACTAACTGTTAGTTGCATGTCTGTCAGTGCATCTCAGCAGTTAACATGTTAGCACTGTGTTGTTTTTAATGGCAAACCTATGGACAAAACTACAGCAGCGTGACCCGAGATGTAATAAACTGAAACAATCCCTTAACCCTAAATTCATGGTGAGACCACAACCATAGTGAACTTTTTTTGCAACTTTTTTTAACAACAGTATGTGGACACATGATGCTTAACAGTCACACATGCCTTGTTCAGGTGTCCACATACTTGGCTGAAGACATTTAGCGGGTGCGAAGTCCATATGTGGGTTTTTCTTGCAGCTCTTCATATATTCATGCCTTAATGTGGTGGTTGTGTTGGCTTTGTTGTCCAGGTGATTGACGTTCAGAAAAGGGACTTTGTTAGCATCTGCTGGACACAAGGGGCACTGTCCTCTGATTGGCTCGGACAACCCCCTCTGACATGCCCGTGGCCAATCAGAGGTGAGTGTGCTATGTGTGTGTGCTTGTTTGCATTTTTATTGTGGGAGTTTGTGTAGGTATGCAGGAGACCTTGTGTATGTTTGTGTATTCTGGTATGCAGACACTGGGTAAAATTAAATCTAAATGTTCTGTGTGTGTTCCTGGTGTTACAGTTTTTCTCTGAGTTGTGTGCATGTGTGTGTGGCTGTGTTATGAAATGAGAGAAATTGCCTGCAGGATGCTTTGTTTTTTTTAAGGGTTTCCTTTCTTCATCTGTGTTTTCCATCAACTTCACTGTGCCGAAGTACACTGGGGTATTTCCCCAGTGTGTCAGTGCAGAATCACACACAGTGCGCCTGGATGTGAGAGTGTGTGATGCAGCAGCTGAAGTGCTGAGCTCTTAATGCTGGATGACCTATTGAATGCCCTTCCAGATCCAGACTTATGTTTTCAGCAACCCCCTCTTTTCACACCACAGATGGCAGCCACTGCGTTTGGCTCCAGTTTTATTTTTTGTACTGTTTTTTCTTATTTCACCACTGGAGATGAACTCCTAAACATGAGTCTTACTATTCCTACACACATCAAACCAGATGTTTCATATTCAGTGGACTTCCTGGTCGATGCTGCTGCAGCTGTGGCAGTCTTATGGTGAGAACAGTGAGAAGATGGACGGCGGAGGCTACTGAAGATCTACACGCCTACCGGAGATGATTCCATGGAGTCAGCACCTGCCCTGGATACACAGACAGTGTGTTGCTGTTACTTTCTGTGATAAGCCTCCTGATAAGGCTTCTACACTGAGCTAAGGATGAAGTCATGGAAATAAAAACATCTACGGGCGAGCTAAGTACAACCTGAAGGAAGGAATTAAAGTGGCTGAGGAGACGCCTGCTGAAGGACCAACCTTCAGCCTGGAAAGCCCCCTCTCCCCCGCTCCATGGATGACGGTCAGATGTCAGTGGCTCCCCTCCCGAGAAAGTCTGAGATCAATAACAGCCTCGGCCAGCAGACACAGGAGTGGCTTCTAATCTTTCCCTTCTTAACAACTGCATCCACAGTCTGGGTTGTGCACTCAGGGTTCCCACGTGCCCTGGAAAACCTGGAATTCTTTAAACCAGTTTTCCAGTCATGAAAAATTGTAAAGTGTCCTGGAAAAACCAATAAACCTGCACAAATCCATTTAGAAATTAGAGGAGAAAAGACAGAACTCTTCTTGTATGTTGCTCATTATTATTGTTTATGTTTGTTGTTAGTCAAGTTACATTCCTAAAGTTGTGTTCGTCTCCACAGTCAGGTTTTTATTTTTTCGCCCAATAGTTTTTTGTGCTCGATGCATTCACTTTTAATTAGTGTTTCGTTCTAGTTCATCCTGGCTTTATGTTCGCACTCGTCAGCTGTAGCCAGGTTCAGTATTTTGACCTTATCCAGACGTTTCAGCGCCCTCCCTCTTCCCTCTGCTCTTTGCTCTTCTTCGTATTTCCAGGTGTGTTATGTCAGGGGCGGATGTGGAGGTGTACCTGTCTCAGGTGCACGACGGGAGCGTGTCGTCGGGGTTCCGGGCACTCTACGAGGAGCGTCTGCTGCTGGACGTTACGCTATTGATAGAGGAGCACCACTTCCAGGTAGGGCTGGGTGATTCTTTCGATTAATTCGAATTTACGTTTTAAGGCGATTTTTTTTTTCTTAAATCGAGGTATCGCGATTTTTAATTATAATAAAAAAATAGATACATTGTCATTGCACCAATGGCAGAATAATTAAAAGGCAATATTGACCAACTACATGATGGCGCGCGTAATTAACCGCTTATGTGTGAAAGCACTCTATGAAGGAACGTAATAGGCTATAGAAAAAACATGGAGACGGGTGGCTCTTCACATCAAGATGACCTTGTGCCAAAAAAAGGTTGTAACGTTTCTTCTGTGGTTTGGAAATGGTTCGGCTCTGAGAGGTCAGACGTCGAACAAACTTTTGTCAAATGCAAAATATGCCGAAAGTCCGTTGCAACCGGCAGTGGCAGCACCACTAATTTATTCCAACATTTGCGACAAGGACACCAAGTAGAATGGGAAGAATGCTCAAAGATAAGAGACGAAAACAAGCCAAGTGCAACGGCGGCATCATTTTCCAATGCCATTCCATACGACAAAAAGGCACCCTGATGGCAAGAAATTACAGATGCTGTGGCATTTCATATCACTAAGGACATGGTTCCCATATACACCATCGAAAAGCCAGGGTTCATAAAAATGCTACGCACTGTTGATCCAAGATACACTTTGCCAAGTCGCAAATATTTCAAAGACGTAGCTATTCCCCGAATGTACACTGAAACACGTGAAAAAGTAGCGGAACAGCTTGATAAGGCATCTTTTTTTTTTTTCTACGACGATTGACCTGTGGAGTAGTCGTACTCTTCAGCCTTACATGAGCCTCACAGCCCATTATGTTGATGCAGAATGGAAACTGCAAAGTGTTTGTCTTCAGACATGTTATTTTCCTGACGATCATACTGGGGAAGTAATTGGTCAAGGGCTTAAAGATGTGCTGGCTTCTTGGAAGCTTGTGGAGGATCGACAAGCGTGCGTGATCACTGACAGTGGAACGAACATGATCAAAGCAATGAAGGTTAACGACTGGACCCATCTTCAGTGCTTTGGACATCGTCTTCACAATGCCACTGGTAAGTATAATTAATAATTCAAGCAATAAAATTGCTGTTATTTAGATGTTCATTTTTATTTCATTAATACCTGAAATTATAATTATTATTGTTTTAAAAGCTTTTCGTTATTTATTTATGTAATAATATTGGCAATCACATAAAAATGTTGTGTGTGTGTGTGCGCGCGCGCATGTGTGTTATCTAATATGTAGGACAATGTTCTTTTGTAAAAAATGATGAAATTAATAATGCTGGCTAACAATAAGACAAGTTATCCCAATTTTGTCTTACCAACTTTTTAAAAAAATAATTGATTTAATAAATACTGTTTTTATTTAAAAAGGTATAATTTCTTTCAAACATTGTTCCCATAAAAAATTGTTTTATAGAGTTTGTTGTTTATAGATTCATAAGCTAAAGTTAGGAAGGAAAAAGCTCTTCACAATATTTCTGTCACAGAAGAATGAACTGCTATTTCAAATCTATTTCCTTGCTTTTTTTTAACAGAACATGGGGTGAAAGAGAACAGAGTTGACCATGCAGTTGCAGTGTGCAAGAAGGTTGTAAGTGCATTTTCCTTCAGCTGGAAAAAGAGAAGAGATCTTGCAACTGCACAGGCTGAGCTCGGGGCTTCCTTCTCATCAGCTCATTACAGAGACCCCCACCAGGTGGGGTTCAAGACAAAAGATGATCGAGCAGGTTTTAGAACAGGAGAAAGCCATAAGCTCGGGTCCTTGGCTCTGATAAAAAAAAAACTCAGCACTTGTTCCCA